GAGGGATGGTCAACGTATTTGACTCTCATATCTGCCACCGTCACGGAGCAAATAAGCAGAATTGCCCCATACGGCGATTCATTCCTGTGGCCCCAAACACCGTTACCTTCCATACCACTTCCAGTCTCTCCAATCAAGCTACTGCGCAGGCATTGAGTAGTGTGCTCTATGCCGCCAACCCGCCTATACGGGGTGGAGGCCTCTTAAACTCGTTCATGACACTCGCGGCTTCGGGTGCTTCGTCCAAAGAGGTGGAAAGGAAGATGAGCGAGAGTATGGGGCGCACTATGCTTGGATTAGGCCACGCGGCATTCGATTCCACTTCACCGGTAGAAAGGGCTACTGCTGCGGGCCAAGTGTTGGCGACCGTTGTCCCGACATGGAATCTAGTGTCCCATTTATTGCTGGTCTAGGAGTGACTGCGCTTCTTGGGATCGTGTTGGCTGGGATGGCAATGATGGCGGATAAAACAGCCATTGTGGTTCCTCCAGAGGTCGATCGTCCAGCGGTTACCGCCAATAGGGAAGAGAAAGTGGTCAACACCATTGGTATTGCACGGCGAAGGTTGTGCGACCCGACCGGTCTCGTTTATGAAGTGTTTGAGAAAGATGGGGATAGAGCTGGAACAAGATGGATGTTAGATGGAGGAAAGATGTTTGACTCAGGCTCTCCCGGTGCTGGTAGTGGGCTGGAGCTCGGTCAGCTGAGGAGACGCACTGTGAGGGTGGGTTTACAGGACGATGGGTTTGGTTTCTACAAATAGCTTTCTACGCAGGGAAGTAATGAAGCGGCTATGTAGGATCACTACGAAGTAAACAAGGCACTTGAGTGAGCACTGAACGCAGGACAAAAAATCAGTGGTGATAATCGAATCAGTGAAGGTACGAATCCTTGTAATCACAGTATAATCGAGGAGCTATGATTTGTTGTGCCGTATGCACGTAGTTGCACACTTGAACCTCACACTCCCCCTTTTATACTCATGAGCGAAGGAACAGACAGAAACAGAAGAGAAAGAAATCCAGTTAAAAGTGAATTCTCGGTCAGATTGTCCCCGTTGGTGCATCAACTCATTAGAACTAGATGACCGACGAGAGGGGCAGACCTTGCTCGATTCAGATCGACGAATCGATGCAGGTATGTTACTGGAAGTATATTACAAACTTGGTTGACCCCTGGAGTAGAGAAAGGTGGCTCTATTGGCATCGGCGTCTTTAACGTCTCGGAGGAGTTGGGCGCTGATACTAGTGCGCTATATGCTTCCTATTCGTACAGTCATCAACCCTGACTTCTCGGATCAATGTACGCTACTACAGGATCGAGCAGTAGAGACGTCCCAAGGGACCAGCAAACCTTGCGCAGGCCCAAACCAAAGAATTATATAAAAGAAGTCTATCCGGATCGTACAAATTTCGATCCTCGAATTGTAAAGGACCTCGAGGATTCTTCTTTCAATCCTGAACCTATTCCTGTCCCTCCAGGCAAGCGACCGGCAAACAAGCTCAAGTACCCGTGGGCTCCGTTCAATTCAAAAATAGACTTTCTCTTTGCTAAGGAAATACGAGAAAGCGGAGTTCCGAAGAAATGCGTCGATTTCCTCCTAAAGAACATCCGCAATGGTGCCTTCCAAGAACTAACCTTCACGTCCGCGGAGGCTATGTATAAGGTCGAGGAAGAAGCCATCGATCAACAGTCCGAAAGGGCAAGTTGATTTGCCTAGTTTATTACATTCGCTAACTCTGGATTTCTCTCTAGTTTGAGAAGAAGTCCTTCAATTATAAATGTCAAGGATCCGATGAAGAGCAAATATATACTGTATGGGTCAGGGATGGCATGAAAGCACTCGTCTCTCTTGCCCAAGACTCTTCTCTGGCACCATATTGGATCTGGCATGCAAGGAAACGCTTTTTGCATATTAAAGGATTCAATTCAGAGCGCATAATTGAGGATCCAATGAATGCCGACGATGCTTGGGAATCCGAGGTGTGCCACTTGCTCGACTCGATAAACTAGTCATAATTGTCTGATAGAAGGAACTTCCGAATGACCCATCTCATGTCAACATCTATCTGATTCTACATTCCGATGAAGTAAAGTTGGCAAATTCGACATCCCTTACTCCAGTCTCTATCCGTATTGCTAATCTACCAGAGCATATCTCTGGCAAGAACTCGACATATGGAGGCAACATGACAATAGGCTTCATCCCGGATGTAAGTGATTTCCTCCTCCTGTGCTTTCACTAATTAGTAAAGTTGCAGGTGCCACCCGAAGCGGCAGGCTCAGTTAGGTACCAAGCAATGGAAACTATCTTAAAATCGCTGGCTGAAAATGTCGGCTGTGGCGTGAGAGTACGGTGCGGAGACGGGGCAATTCGTGTCTTACATCCTCGAATCCTGAGCATTAGCCAAGACTTGAAGGAGCAGTAAGTTTCCTTACCTATAAATTCATTATCGAATTATTAATCTCCATCAGGTCTTTGTCTGCGGGCCTTGCGAGCGCCAGTGAGCACTGTCCTAGGTGCTCGGTTCCAAAGGACCACCAAGGAGACCTGAAATTTGACGTGAAAATAAATAAAAGACCCAATAAGGTACGGTTTATAGTCTGCGGCCTGGTGTATAACCTTCAAAATGATAGGATAGCCATTGGGACTTCCCTGGACTATCCATATCTAGTTCATTGTCTTTCGACATCCTTCACAGCGGCTACGAAGGTCTCTTTGGAGACCACATATGGAAGTTTATCTGGAAAAAACTTTTGACCAACGCCCAAACCCAGCTCACTCAAAGGTACACCTCTTTGCTCGCGTACCATCGACATTGATAGCCTTTGCACAGATTTAAGAAGGCACCCGTTCACCCAAACCTCCAAAGCATCAATACAATTCTGCCTGGGATTAAGACGGGTCAAATGCATTGGGCGATGCTTCAGGTTCGTTGTACCATCTGAACTGAGCACTTGCTGACCTCAAAAAGCAAGTCTTGCCTTTATGCTGGGACCTGATACCGCAAGAATATGAAGTCGTCATTGCATTTACTCGCAAGCTTGCCTGCTTTTTCATGGTCCTGCAATTCAAGCGGCAGTCAGAAAGGCGCTTGAAGGAAGGGCAACGTTTACTCGACGAGATGAACGAATTACTTAAAGTCAGCATATAATTTGTGACTTCAGACATACTAATCCGTTCCTACTTAGGCTATGAGGGCAATGCCCGCCAAGAAGAGTTGGAACTTTCCCAAGATGCATCAACTCTGTCATGCACTAGACGATATCAGAAACAAGGGACCGACGCCTTTCTTGTCCTGTATCCTCGGCGAGCAAATGAATTGTGAACTGAAAAATGATTATGGGAGATCTAACAAGAAAGAGCCTATCAAAGCTGCACGTATCCTCTCAAATCTTATCTGATCTTCTAATAACTGAAGTCATAGTTGTCAAAGGCTCGAGAGAAGGCAGCAATGCTCAAACGGATCAACTGGAGAGTCAATCCAAACGAAACTAAGCCAGTAACAAAACGTGCGGTTTCACTTGATTGATTCGCTGTTATAACAATAGTTTTAGAGAAAAATCGACTATGCGCTCCGAAGGACAAGGCGAAGGACAAGGGCACCAATTCTCTGTCAATCCAAGAACGCGGCTACTTTTTCCAGGATCATAAAGGGTGCGACGGCCTCTTTGAGAAGTTCCATGATCAGTTATGGGATCTTGTTGGGAGAATCTCAACCCAAGGCGACGAGTATGCAAGCCAGTTACAAAAGGGGTTCGAGGTGTGCGAAGTGTCATCGCCTATTGTAGCTGACTCACTGCATCCAGATACAAGTGTTTACTCAACTCAAAGTCACGTATAACTCAATGGATGATGGAACAGTTATCGAGGAAGCTGTTGAATGCTCATCGTCATATCATCATGTGGAGCGTTTCGATACTGTTTTCATACAGGACTCAGATTCACCAGCCTCAATAAAGGTAGCCAGAGTCCATCTTCTGTTCCGAGTTTATCACAGAGGAGAGGCATTTGACCTTGCCTTCATCACGGAGTTTGAGCAAGCCCCTTGGTTGGATGAGAGGGAGAAGGTGATGGGTGCACATCGGTTCAGTCATCGAAATGTAGGAAGGTTTGTGGAAGTTGATGCTATTATTCGATCCTGCTACATGACACCCCGATTCCTGTCGTCCGACATATCCCAGGAGCTCGAATATCCAGAAGACTTCTACCTCAATGATCTCGCAACAGGAGATGTAGACTTATTCATCAGATGTAGTAGATTTACCAGTCATTGATTTTGAATCAAGTCTTCACAACTCTGTCGTTGTAAAAGTGGAGCCTGGCAACTCAGTCCTGATTGTCTCCTGCTCAATGGATCATCCATGGGGAAACACTACCTTGTTTGGCCATGATCCGTCCGAAAGATCTCAAGACTCTGAATCAGATGAGCAATCCAAATCTGGAGCGGTACCCACGCCGTACCAGGAGATTGCCAAAGTGAGAGCCTCATTGATGTGCCACGAATTGCTCACATACTGATATTCTAAATGGTTCACTTGTTTGAAGTCACTAGATCCAATTGCTTCCAAGCATGACAACCATGAAGCATATCGAGCCCAGCAGGAGGCGCAGACTGACAGGGCGCTGGCTCTGCCCAGTGATACTATAATTGACAAGGTAAGGTCTTTCGGCCATTCAATTATATAGTTAGCTTGTTGGGTGACCCTTGTTCCTGCATTACTAGAGGACTAGCGAGCCCGAAGTGTTTGATAATCAACACAACCAGGTATTACTTGATTGTCAAATGCAGGAGAAACGCATCAAAGAGGTAACACCGTCTTCATTTGATCTCCCTTCCCCCCCAACAATTATCTAGGCGGTTGGTTTGCTGACTGAGAGGATTAACCAGCTTGAAGGGCAGAACAAAATGTACCAAAAAGAGCGAGAGAACCTCCGCAACCTAGGTCATTCCTTTCTGCTCGCTCTCTCCGAGGCATTGGACCAAAAGGGTATCTCCATGGAGGAAATCTTCCAAACTGCAGAAAATAAAGGCAAAGAAAGAAAAGAGAAGAGAAGTTTTAACCTTGCATCGGCGAAAGCAACCACAATTTGTTACCTCTTGTGGGTGCCCAATGTCACAGGGGGGGATCTCAAAGCTGCTATGGATGATATTCCCAGCGGCTACATGCCAAAGGATATATATCAAAATTTTGCTGATGCAAAGAAGCGTGATAGTTATCTCCTTCGTGGTTTTGCTTACTATCTTCGCAACTTAGATATCACGCCAGAAGGCTTTGAGTTCGAAGAAAGTGACCTTGATGAGGTTACCTTTCCTCCCAATGTTATACAGCCACTGAAATATTGTAGATCATTCAAGAGGCCAATAATGCGCAGACAGAGACACTTGTCAAGGTGCGCAAATACCTTGACAAGATACTCGAAGGTCACGGAGATATTCCCGGAGAATTGAACAATGTCAAAGACCACAATCCTACAAAGAAGGACACTCAGTTCCATGCATTGTTACAAACCAAGGAGGGTACAGATCCCATGAGATCCATGAGATGTCCCTTAATTCAGCTCTCAAAGAGCGAGCGCACCAACAAACTACTCTATGATGGTCTCTTTCAGACCCAAGCTGTTATAAGAGTGAGCAGATTGCATTATGGTTCTGATGTCATCTCTCATCCTCCAAAGACGATACGCCTTATCATTTTTGGGCCTAGCCATATTGAAAAGGCAAATCTCAGAAGCACTAACTCCCTGACCTATGCGGTGCAGTGGGGCCTTGGGAACAAATCCCTGCCTGCCGGGCTCATTGTTGCTGCTGCTACCATTGTATGTCCATATCCTACTTCACATTCGCATAGATAATCGATCTTCAGCTACACGGGGCAATGGTCCGCATGCATGAAGGTGGAGAGAATAAGAACAAGAGCAAGACCTCCGGCTTCCTTGAACCATACCTTAATGGCCGCAAGTTCATTGATGATGGTGCTCCCGAAATAAAAGACCAGTTCCTACGCTCCATGACCAAACAAGTCTGTGGGAAGGAGATACTGGTCTTCCCAGAGACAAGACGTCAGCCACGGAGGTCGACTTCGCGAAGCACTCTGCACTCCCGGACGCAGAGCAGGTCTAGAGTTCGGGCCTCCAAGAGTGTAGACTCTAGAAGCAGGAATGCAACCAATGACGGAGAATCGGATGATTCTTACTCTGAGAGCGTGCATGACAATGGCAATATACTACCTGATACATTCGTAGGCGAAGTTCCGCATGGGACACTAGGTGAGCATTCACACTAATGGTTCAGCATCTATTAATGAGTGGAGGCCTCGACAAAGAAGGGAATCGGTCTTCAATCGAGTACTCGGAGCCTGTTCGCTTCCAGAGTAGCCCATACCCGACCTCCATTGAGACGGGTATCAATAACCACAAGCAGGGAGAAACGCGTGGCTCCCTGGTTCAGATGCGTTCGCCCATGAAAACAATCAAGCCTGGCTCTCGATCTCTCCCTTCTCGAGAATCAGACGCGCAAGCCACCCAGTTCGGGTCGTCCGCCTCCGTACAAAAGCCACATACCACTACCCATGCTACTAATCTCACTTCATTATCTATGGAAGCCAATACACCTCAGAGGAAGAAAGGCAAGCGAAAGAGGAATTCTAGTCAGAATCAGCCGAAGCAAATCGATCCCAGACAGCCCAAAAGAAAAAAGCCTCTAAGTGAGAGGTAGGATCGGCGAGAGTGTGAAAACTGCGTAGGGACGTGTATACTCTCGTCTCTAATTCAAATCACAATTTTATGTTCATGTGTCGTTTAAGAAGCACAAACTGTAGATTCCAAATCAACCGAACTAAGCAACCTGGGATATCCTCATGCATCTATCCAATCCAGAGCGAGCAGCGCTCCTTGCCTTCGAAAGATCATTCGTCCTGTTGTTGTTCATAGGCCGCGTTATGAATGGAAACGCTACGACCACTCGGGTCTGATGAGCATCCCCAGTCCATACGGGGAATCCAGCGCACAGCCGTTGCCGCAGCGGCCTTGGTAGGGAAGTGACCTGCGAAGATCATGTCAGCCTCGATTAATATCATCAGCCGACGAAGAACATACTCTCAAAGATTTCACGGATGAGATATGCTTCTTTGGTCTCGGGGGTATCTTCTGGGTATCGTTCCTTGGCACCCGCCAAAGCCTCATCGGAGACGGTGGCAGCAGCGTGGTCTTTGATACCGTCGATCCAAGAGTAGCCTACACCGTCGGAGAACTGCTCCTTTTGACGCCAGAGAATCGACTTGGGAAGGTATGCCTGCAGATACTCAGTACCCAGCAGATGTTTACTCAAAGGCGTACCTTGCCGTCGGGAGCACAGTCAAAGGCCTTTCGAATGATGTACTACAGTCTATTCAGTAATCAATAGCGGATAAAGAGAATATGACACACCTTTTCCATGATAGGGCATCCATCACTGTCGACCTTTTGCTTCGTACCCTTGCCAAACATCTTCTCTTCTGGGTTGATTGTCATCGCGACGTCCAAGAATGCCTTGTCCAAGAAGGGCACGCGAGCCTCTAAACCCCATGCCATCGTCGACTTGTTGGCGCGAAGGCAATCCGACGTGTGCAAGTTTTGCACTCGTTTGACCGTCTCCTTGTGAAACTCTTCAGCAGATGGTGCGGCATGGAAGTAAAGGTATCCTATCCAAGATGTCAGCCAAGGTCGATAGGAAATGAGGGCCCCAAACCTCCGAAGATTTCGTCGCTTCCCTCTCCGCTAAGGACCATCTTGACGCCCATGGCCTTGATCTTGCGACTGAGAAGATACATGGGTGTACTGGCACGAACAGTCGTGACGTCGTATGTCTCCAGGTGATAGATGACCTCGGGAATGGCGTCGAGTCCCTCTTGGACTGTAAAGGTGAATTCATGGTGCTGAGTCCCAAGATATGCGGCGACTTTGCGTGCGGCGAGTAGATCAGGGGAATGTGGAAGCCCAATCGAGAACGAATGGAGTTGCGGCCATGCGACTGGGGTAGTGTCGTCGAGGAAAACTGTACCGTTTTCTCCAACCACACCGGCAGATCCAGATCCTCCATTGGTCATAATGACAGGAGACGTCGTACCGCTGGAGAGCAATCGCCTGCGACGTTCCTCTTGCTGAATTTGTGCGACGCGTTCCGTTTCTCGGGCAGCGATAGCGGCAATCAAGCTGCTATCCAGTCCACCGCTCAACAGGACACCATAGGGTACCTCACTCATCAAGCGCTTCTTGACAGCCGCTTCGAGGGTTGTGCGCAAGAGAGTGAGATCGGCATGAGCGGTCGGAGGCGGGATGACTTCCGGGTCCCACCACTTGGGCTTGTAGTAGCGTTCAAGTTTGCCCGTGTTAGAGTCGAAAAAGTGACCTGGTGGGAACGCCTCGATGAAATCGCAATCGTCGGTGAGGGCCTTGAGCTCGGACGCGAAATAGGTGAGACCAGGCGTATTACTTGAAGTTCCACGATAGAGCGTCGTGATTCCAATCGGATCGCGTGCGACAAGAACGCGGGTCGGCGAGACGGACTCGTCTAGGAGGATAAAGGAGAACATGCCGTCGAGGAGGTTGCATAGCGTGCTCGGGTCATGTTGCTTGTACTGTGTAGACGATTGATTTATGTATCAGAATGTGAATATAAGTCGGGCCACCGGGCGGGAAAACAGAGGCGGTTAGTTCGGAGATGACTGCCGAAAGGAGAGGGCGTACGAGATGGAGAATAACTTCGCAGTCCGAGTGCGTCTTGAAAATTGCATTTGCTGGGACGGTCTTCTTGAGAGCTTGATAGTTGTAGATTTCGCCGTTGACGCAGAGGATTTGCTTTTCGTCGGCACTAATGAGTGGCTGAGCACCCGTGTCTGTCGATCACACAAGCAAAGAGCATTCATCAGTACACATTGCTGTCCAGATCGCATTTCATGCAGAAAATTTGACGATTACAGCGAATAGCTGGGATAAAAATACGTTCAAAACGTTGCGGGACAACGGATAAGGGGAAAGAAACTCTATGGGCTCACCAACACCAACGATCGCAAGTCTCTCGTGCGCAAGGATGCACTCCTTTCCAACGTAACAACCCGACCAGTCGGGACCGCGGTGCCTCAGCCGCTTGCTGAGTGCAATCGCCTTTGTCCGCAATCCTGGCGTAGGTTGCTCGAGTCCGTGAACACCGAATATCCCGCACATTCTCTGACAATGTTTAATCTATGTCCAAGATTTTTTCGTCAAATGTCCAAAGTGCGGGACAACGAACGGATGTGGAGGAGTCAGACCCTTGGCCTTATAGCCACAGATTAGCCGACCTGGTCAAGTTCTGTACTGTAGCCGTAGACGTAACTGCCGATAACAAGCGTCGTCTATACCGTCAGCTGATGCACGCATTATATCACTCATGACTTGTCAACAGCGCTCGACTCGCCAAGGAGGAATAGGCCCTTACTCTTTTGAGAGAACTCGGAGCTTAAATGGACTCACGAGACCATACAGCACATACTAGTGGCGCTTGAATGCACTCAGTCGACCAGCATTTCGACAAGATCGCTTAACTTATCGCCCTCACTTCATTCGACAACAATTTACCATCGACTAAAAGGTCATGAGGACGGCCGGCAAACAGAGCAGCAAAAAATGGGACTTGCATAGAATAGGAAGCCAATGCAACTGTCTACAAGAACGGTAGGGAAAGAAACATGCAAACGCACAAACGGGCAGACGAAACCGGAATCTACACATACAATAACCTTAAGCGTTCATTCACAGCAACGTGCGTGTGTCTCGGTAGCTTCGCGTTGACGCAACCCAGTAAGGGTCAGCTGGACAGATGGAGAGGGAACGGCAAGAGTGGAGGAGACAGAGATAGAGTGAGTGTGTGCAGGATGAGGGTCCAGGAGCGAGACGGGAAAAAAAGAAAATACGAGGAATTGTAAAGGATTGCTGGGTTTTGCGGGGAGCGTTGGTCGTGACAAGGCCAGGAAATGAACGGCTTGAGGCGAATATTATAAAATGTAAGATTAGGCATTGCATGAGTGTTTTTTTTGATCTGTGATGCTGATGTTCGTCAGGATGGTTTCGCGTTTGCGCGGTATATTTCTCGCTGGCCATGGCGGGAGATCCTTTGTGTTCGTGAAGATGGAAAAAAGAGGCCACTAATATGTTATCACGACCTGATTTCGGAGAATGTCGGATCGTAGTCGATGATTTGACGGTACATGCCCACTCCAGAGTCTTCTGATGGGACCGCGCTCAGTGTCTTTGTATTGCCCACTCTCGGCGGCCCGCTTGTGACAGAAGTGTTGCGAACGCGTTTGATGGGTGCACTCGAACTTGCGTTCCCACTGGGTGTCGTCGCCCCGGCGCGAGCTGTCGAGACAAAGGACGTGGTGCTCCCCGTCGTTAGCTTCGAGTCGACGGTACTGGTAATCTGCCGTCTCTGCATACTTGGAGACGCAGTGGCACCTGCCCGTCGACTTCCAGGACGAACAGAACCAACAACAGAGCCGTCTGTGCTCGGCTCTGGTGAACGCAATCGTGTACCAAACTTGGACTCTTTCGCCGGCGTTCTTCCAGCAAAGGAAGACGGTGCTTGGTACTTGGGAGTGAGCTGTGTCCGCGATACGTTGGTCGATGGAACGCGCTTGGCTGCTGGCTTGGTAAGGGTGACCTTGTCGGCACCCCAATACGAAAAGCTCATCTTGCTCTTGCGGTCAGAATCATCGCTGTCATTGCCTTCACCCTCCTCTTCGGGGGATTCTCCGCTGCCCATAAGATGACCACTCGCTTGCTGGTTTCTCCATCGCTCGATACTAGAAGAAACCTTGTCAGTCTTTGAATAAGTTAACCGACCCAGGACGTACGCCTCTTTGGAGACGAGTTCCCGGGGCTTGGGCTTCTCGTTGATGGTCCAGCTTTCAACCTTGAGGAACCGATAAAGATTTCTTGGGCGAACCTGAGAGGATGTCCGTTTGGCGTTGGTGCTCGCATACTTGGGTTTACTCGAGCCATCACCTAACGAATTGGCACGCGAGTTGGCGGTTGTAGAGAGTGGAAGAGTCGTCGTGCCAATTCGCTGGCAGAGAAGAACAACGTCATTAAAGACGACGAGCCAAAGGTCTCGTTTGCTTCCCAGACCGCTCTTGTCGTCCTTTGTCCCCAAGACCTCGCTGATGCGCCGGAACGAACCTTTTTGCTTGACGGCCTTGCTCTCCCGAGTCGTGCTCACGGTGACCACTGGAGGTGATTTGGTCGCTGGATCTGCCCATGACCCAGGTTGAGGATTCTCTTCGATGAGCAGGCGTGAAGGCTTGAATACCGCAAGGACCTTGTCCTTCTCCAAACCATCTATACGCGCCAATGCATCTCGCGTCTTATCGCGCTCCTCTTGTTGAACCTTTTCGTCCTCGATGGACCGTACAATCGTCTCAACCTCGGAGACCATTTCCAGCGTACTCTCATATTCGAATGTCGACGGGTCGGTGTGGAAGAGTAGGTTTTGGAATAATAGCGGATACTTTAGGAGACGCTGGAACGGTTTCGAGAGCGAAATAGCCAAGTTGGTCTCCCCTCGTGAGTGTGCTTCCTTTTCTAGCCGCTGCAAGGGGTCAGACATGGAAATAATGAGACAGAATAGAGACAAACCTGGACGAGTTTTGCCAATTTCACGGCATCAGAATTTTCGGGCTGTCGTGAGCGGCCAAGAATGCTGGCGTTGTTGACAATAGTGTCCACTTGTTCCAACGCGCGTTCCAGATGCAGAACATAAGTAGCATACTCATGCAAGATGGTAGCCTATGGGCAAAAAAGTTAGTAAAGAGTAAAAGGGAAAAAAAAAAAAACTGGAGGTACGCACATGGCCGACAAAGATGTCTGCAAGACTCCTGACAAGCGGATACTGTTCATCATACCGAGTGATGAGCGCCTTGGAGAGGACACCATGTCCTGGTATAATACCCCGCTCGATGACATCAAGACACGTCCTCAGGTCTTCGGGTATGACATGCGGGGGGACCCCGCCCGGAACGGCGACCAATTTCGGCCTATCTTCCGAGTCCTTTCGCGTCTTTTTGAGTACGCGCTGAGGAGGTGGCGAAGGCGCGAATCGTGCTCGCCGTCGTTCATGTCCTGGATCCGTTGTAGACGGCCTCGCTGCACCCGCCCCGCGGGTCTCGTCTCTCTCTTCATTGACCGATTTTCTCCCCAGAGAGGTGGTGGATGCAACGTTGGCGCCAGGAGTGCCAGTTGAACGAGGTGGAGGTGGGAGAGATTGATGTGATCGAGAGGATATCTGGGGCATCAGTCTGTTCAAGCGTGGATTGACCGCATTGCTTGTGGCTCGAGAGCTGGTCCCATATGGGGACCGCGGATGGTTTGCTTTTGCAGCCATCGAGCCTGTGATACTCGACTTTTTGCCTGTCACGCGTTTCGAGCCAACGAGTTTGCCTGCATTCGCACCCGGCTCGTCGTAATCCGTATCCGAGTCTTGATCAGGTGTCGGTATCTGCGGTGTGGTCCCATTCGTACGGTGTGTCGCAGCGGTTGTTGTTGCAGGAGTGGGAGAGCGGACGGAAGAGGGTCCAATAAATCTGGAAGCAATTGGGAGGTGTTCAATCGACTCGGCGGGTGTCTCGCTCCGCGGGTATCCTTCTTCACTCGCGTCATGCTGAGCTGCAAACGGGTGCAATAGCGGAATAATGTAGCTTTCACGCATATTCATTAGCTCTTGAATGTACCTAAACAGAGTTCGGATGCAAATCAGCGTGCTGAAACGCAAAAAAATTGGCAAGAGAGAAACTAACCTCTGCTCAGAGGCGACAATCTCCCACAATACCTCTTGCCTGGTTCGCTCGCGTTGGCCGAGATTGGCGACGAGGTCCTCTTCTGCCGCCTCGCTCCACGACGCTGTAGTGGCGACTGTCGACTTTTGGGATCGTGCAGACATGGATGTGCCCGGGCGGAGGATGGAAACGTTGTCGGCCATGGGCAGACCCATTGCATTGTATTTGCCTTGCTTGTGCGCGCGAGGATGAGCGTGTGCCGGTGCGGTTCCATGGCTCATAGCGCTGCCTGGCGTCGGGGAAGCGGCAAGTGCCCGCGTGGAACTCGTCTTGAGAGGATTGCTTACCGGGATCGTCCTAAACGTTCCCACCGTGTGATTTGTCGAGGTAGATCCACGGCCCTCGTGCATATTCACGAGTTTGGTGACCATGGCCTTTGAGGGAGCCGCCTCGGACGTGCTCGCCTTTCTCCGCTCGTCAAACGAGTCGCCTCTAGACGCCGGTGCAGAGGCATTGGCTAGACCATTCGCTTTTGTCGCATTAGGGACGGGAGCGGACGATGATGCGCCTGGCGGGGGCGTGCCTGCGGCACTCGACGTCTGGTTAGGATCCGTGTCCTTTGGCCGTTTAGCAAGCTCCTTTACGGTCGCGGTGCTGGTCGCGTTGCTAGTTCGCTTTCTAGACTTGTCGTCTGCGGTGAAATCGAGTGGCTCAGCAAAGGATGGCAAAGGAGGTAACTCGGAGTCGACATTGGAGAATGGACGGGCCGCCGTTGGGACTGTAGACGTAGCCTTGAGGTTTGGAGCAGACGTTTCGAGGGATATCGGCACAGACGTCGGCGCGACTACAGGCGCTGGCTGCGAATCTTTGAGCGTCTGGTTGAGCGCGGGCGAGGGCCATTCTGGCAGCGGGGGAAAGTTCTTCTCCTTTTCTAGCTCACGGGGAGCAGGAGTATATCCACCAGTGTTGGATTTCGAGCTCGCATTGGACCGAAACTTTTGCAGAAATGCGCGCATCGCTGCCCAAGCCGGCTGGACGTCGCGCAGTCGTGTACGAGTGTAATTTGTGGAATTTTTGTGAGCTTGAAGGACAGTTGGAATTTATTTGGGGATTTTCTGGTCTGCGTATGGTCGGCGAGTAGGTCCAAGCTTTGGCCTTGCGCACAACACGTTTCATTTTCGACGCCGTCATTCAGCTTTGGGAGCTCGCTTGCGCAGGGTTAGTCCAGATAAGGATTCAGTTGCATTTACTTTTCTGTATTCTCCTCACGATTGCGCCGCCGAGCTCGAGCCGCCGTTTGCGGGAGAGCGTCACTGGACAGTCCAAGTGCTGCCCGTGAGCGCTGAATTACACTGAAAACACAGAAACTCGTCGCCGTTGACGACTGCAGCCGTAGCGACTCACGAGGCAGTACAGCGGTTTCAATAGCCCGCCATACGGTCCAATTACCATTTCTGGCAGAAATATCCAGTAGTTTATACATTATTCTCCCAATTCCTCCGTCACTAGAAGCCCATCGAGCGAGTCCACATCTTGGACCCGAACCATCGCCGTCTCTAGCGTCTGTCGGCTGTCAACGACAACGACGAGTACAAACGATCCCTAACGAATCTTTATGTCGTCTCCCGTACCGTACAGGGCCTACCAGGTAGTCCACGTCTCCATTTAGATGTGTCAGTGGTGCTTATAATTACGCTGCAAACTAGTCAAAGAGACACTCGAGAAACCTCTCAAACACATTTACGCCTCCCCAGTCTCCACCTCTTGCGCCCGTAGGATCTCCCAAGTCTCCCGCGACACCCGCATCCAATGCATCCTCAAAACGACTGTCTACACACAGCCCTCTCGCAGATCTGGCCAGTCTAGATCGCTCGACGCCTCCGCCAGTCACTCCTCCGTCAAACAACAAGGCGTTGCCTCTCCCAAGTGCTCCCGTGACGCCGGTAGCCATTGAGATTCTTGAGATTCCACCTTCTCCGATCTCAGAGAGCACAGTAGCGTCACCATCGCCGCAAGTGGTCGAGGAGCCACCTCAGCCAGTTGCCGTCCCGGAATCACCCAGACCGCCTCCTAAAACCGTGGTCACTCCTCCAGCACCTCCTGTCGCGTCTCCAAAGGAGGAAACACCGTCGCCAGCCTCTCCAGCACCGCCTAAACTGGCCTCTCATTCCACTTTTCGACACGTTCCAGCTCGGGCATCACCATTGAGGCCATCCGCTTCGGTTCTCAAGTCTGGCTATGAAGGGACTCCTCTTTCCTCTCGCTCGACTCTTACTCTTGGGACGCCTTCACGCGCTGCTTCGGGTGTGAATCCATCCTCGAACCTTCGACCACGGCCTCCGGGCGGGCTCAAAGTCCACGACTTTAGTCAAAGCTCTTCACAACCCGGCTCTCCTGTTAACGGATCGTCTTTGACGGTTCATACCGCCCGACCCGCCATTTCATCTCCACTTTCCTCGTCTTCGGTAGGAAGCAGCAGACAACCATCTCCACTTGCATCTCCTGCCTCGGAAACTAAATCGAGTAGTCCTTCAAAATCATCCAATCCATCGCCCTCTGCGTCACCATCAAGACCGGCCATTTCTCCTCTCCCTTCCCCATCCACGGGTTCAGTTCCACTCGCGTCGGGCTCTTCGACCTCTACCATTCAAGCTCCGAGGAAATCTGATACTCCTAATCGCACCGTTTCCACTGGCAGTGCTCCTTACCGACATGGCTTCCAGCCCAAGGGTGTCTACGGGCAGAGAACTGATGAATTCTTGGAGGCACGACGGTTGAAGAGAGACACGTCGCGGATAGAAGACCGTAGGCTTGAGCGAAGATTGGAAAAGGTGCCCCTGTCGCTTGGCTAATGGCTTGTCCTCTAATGCATTCTCACATAGTTGATCGACCTCCATTTTCCGTCACAAGACTCCAAACAAGCGACTACACCGACCACTTCGACTCCCTTGCAGGAAAAGCCGCCTCCCAATCGACGGCAATCGTCCTTCTTCGACTTTGATCTATCCGACTTGAAAGGCAAGAATGCCTCTGATCTCTGGCGCAATGTCTTGGACTCGGCTGCATCGACACGTTTGCCGTCGCTCAACGCAAAGGGCGAAATACGACAACAGGAAATGGCCATCACACCGTGGCAAGAGGACGCGGCGGTACCGGCTTGTCCAATATGCTTGACGTCGTTCAACACACTAACGAATCGTAAACATCATTGTCGTTTGTGTGGCAAAGTGGTGTGCTCACTTCCTGTCAAACACCCAAATCGGCCCGAGCTTTGCTCGTTTCTCTTTGTTGTCGATGCAAAGACGGGCCTAATTGAAGAGGTTAGCGGAGATATTGTCGACTATGGCGTCAAACGACAGGTCACGCCTGGAGGGAAGAGTGGAAGCGACGCGTTGCTTGCGAAGAAGATGGCCGAGGAGCAGGAAAAGTATCTTAAAGGAGTTCGAATATGCAAAGAGTGTCGACCTACTCTGCGAAGGAGGCAATATGGGGTGGAAGCCAGGACGACTCCGCCGTTTTCCAAGCTCTATGCGGTCCTGCTAGAGATTGAAAAGGAGATTGAGGAGATGCTGCCGCAATTCCAAGAACTGGTCATTCACCTCTCGTGAGTACTTTCTGGCCCGTTCGAAGTATTTGCTGATTGAAAGTAGACAGGAAGACGATTCGAATCTACACTCGGCGCCCAATAATAACCGGGTTAAACAAGCCACCAACCTTCGCAAGCATCTTCTTGAATCGTTTTCTCAATACGACGCTATTGCAAAACGCATCAAGTCGCTAAAGACACCTGGGCCGAATTCGTCTCAAGAAAAGGTCCAAAACGCCATCTCGAACCGTGCGACACTCTTCTTGCAGAGGAATCTGTTCCCCCTTCAGGTTAGTACATACTATTCCTATCCTTACTCCTCTGACCGTCACCACAGTCGTTGCCCAAACCGAAGAAGCCGACGCACGCCAAGAACTCGTCCGTTACAACTCTTTCTCTCCCGTCCAATCTCGTGGACATGAGCGATCAAGACGCTGCTTTGGCCCATACGCTGCAACCTCTGTTGGAGCAAGAAGCGCTGCTGGAGAGTTTTGTCGAAGAAGCAAACGCACAGCGTAAATTTGAAGACGCAAAGACGCTCAAGCAGAATCTGAAAGAGATTCGGCAGGAGATTGATCGTCTGTTGAACGGGAGAGACCTCCCTGGCAATCCCGCGTCTGCTAAAGGGTAAAGAGCTCTCCGTATACATGTATATAATAAGCTATCAGAGCTCAAATTTGGTGTACACCCGGAATTCTTTTGCTCTCTGAGCCACGAGTCGTGTTGTCCCGAGACTTGGACTCGACCATGTCCGATGCCTCTGAACTTTGGGATGACAACGAAGTTGATTGGCAGGAACTCTCCTTGGCAGTACAAGAACCTGTGGCGTCGGAGGCTTTGACAGCACCTGTGGAACCTTCAACTCCTGGTGGTTCAAACGGCCCTGGCGTGACGCTTGTTACAGAACCTACGCTAGTTGCTGAATCCAGCTTTTTGTCAGCACCAATCATTACTGGGTCTACGACGCTTCTGGGTACAGGGACGGTGGTCGCAACCGCCTCAACGTCGCGTTCAGAGGAGCGAACTCAAGATGAACAAGAAAGATCATCGAGTGGACATAATTTATCTCATTCCAGCTTCTCAGTAGCCGAATCTCGCAAGACGAGCATGAGCAACGAAGAAAAGGAGAGCCGGAAGCGTTCCATTCAAGGTATTGAAGCCTTGTGACTCTCTTCTACGATTATTGGATCTCACAGTCTCTAAGCTGCCTTCGAGGGACTGTCAAGTGATGATGATTTGCCTCCCAAGTCGACCAAACGCCAGAGGCAGGGCAGTCCGACCGAATGTAAACCTGATAACGACTCGGAAGATATTACTCCATCTCAGGGTGTCAAGATTCGTAGCGCATTGAGTGCTTATGACGACGACTTGAGTTGTCCGATGTACGTAACCCCCCGCATGCGCCCTGGAGCTCGTATTGATACACTTGAAGATGCCTAGAACTCTTGTGAGATTATATAGATGTTAATATCTTAGTGCCACAGCTGATGGGTCATTCCAGCTTGTCTCCTCAACTTCTCAACCCATGCGGTCATAGTGTCTGTGGCGACTGTGTGCTGCTCTGGGTCGAGAAAGTGCGTAGTACTTGATTCATTGACACGAATACTCATGAGTGTCAGAATCCTTCTCACGTAACGTGCCCGACGTGCCGTGCCAATCTTGTCCAAGGGTCAATATATATCCCAAACTTTGCGATTGAAACTACTGTAAACAAGCACATCGAGGTCCTCCGATCGAACAAAGTAGAGGACTGGATGGATGGCGGTGGTAAATGGAAGGAACGAGATACGAGAAAGAAGTAGGTGCCCTTGTTCTATCTTCCATATAAAATTGAACGCATTTGGTCTAGGACCTATCAGATTATGAAAGCGACGAGACCTGAACCCGTCAGAAACGCTCGAAGCCACAGGTATGTCGAAACGCCGACTCTGCAATGGTGTTGACGAAGTGATCAGATCACACTCGCGCAACTTGGAGCGTGTGATATTTGTACCTGTGCCTACCGACTATTATCGACCTCTACGAAGACCTGCTCAGCAACAGAGAGCAAGACAGGGTGAAGGCGGTGGAACGCATAGCTCTCCTGTACAGATTATTGATTCAGACGACGAAGAAGAAGACGAAGATTCGGACGACTAAGGATTCTCCTCCTGTGTATCAAGATAGAACGCGCACTGTGATGTCTTTGTTTATTGTTATTCATGTATCACCAAGAGATGGACTAGATAACGTCATTTTCAACGCGCTATGATTCCTGGCGCCCCAGACGACTTAGGCGCCTGCTCTTCGATCTTGAATCCTTCCCCGTCGAGCCAACCTTGCTGCACGATGTCTGAGCAACCTACAGTGTATGTAAAAACTCCAACAATTACTGATCATAAGCGATCGAGATTTTGACTGTATATCTGCATGAATCGTCCCAGCCACCCAGACGTCGAGCCGCAACAACAGGATATCGAGCATGCCGAACAGCAGGATCACGAACACACCGAGACCACCGAGTCAGTGACAGAAGAGGTGCCAAAATCGGAATCTGAACAGTGCGTATGCCTTGGCTTTGTGTGGTGCTATTGGCCGTATTGATGTCTCGCAGGAAGAAACCCGCAGGCAAACTTAGAGGACGTCCGACTGGAGGAACAGTGAAAGGAGGTGTCTCTGGAGGACCAACCGGGCCTAAGAAGGGATAACCGGTTTCCAGAAATCGACATCACTGTTCCACAGAACGCTGTCCATTGGACACAAGTATACTGGTATGGAGGTGTGCTATCACGAGCAATAAACATTTACTGGTACATCACGATAAGATAGGATACGCGGCTGTCCATTAGGGATGCTACCGAGCGTTCAGGCCGGTAATACGCTCTGTCAACCAACCAATAGGGGTTTGCAGACTGCTTAATGGTGAACTGACGTTACTATTTCCCCCACGACTCGAGCCACCCATCACCCCACCACTGAGACTAAGAGGATTGGCCGCGGCATAAGACGCTTTTCGCGCTTTGAAGCCCTCTTCGACCATCTGAGAGATTTCGGCGACGTTGGTCTCCAATACCAGTCCTCCCTGGACGATTTCGGCGAGAATGGCGTGCACTTCGTCAAAGTGAAAGACGAGGTCGAGTTCACACACATTTCTAAACGCCTTATCGAGTGATTCCACAAATACCTATACGTTAATCGGATATCAGTAATCCTTGCTCAGTGATTGTAAAGGATCGCCCACCTGGATCAGGTCTAGGATCCCGAGCTCGCTTTCTCCACCGTCTATGACAAAGACAAAGTACAGAGTCGCATAGTTTCGGTAGACTACGCATATGCGATCATTGCTCGCGATGTTAAGCTGGGAAGTCATGTCTAGGTCTGGCACATCGAGAAAGTTGCATGCTCCTGGAGGTCGTGATGAGATGAGCTTGAATATTTTCTGTGGAATGACTGTCGCAAGTTCGGGCGACCTGAGCGGCGTATAGAACTTGATAAGACGGGGTGTTCCAGACGTATTGACTATCGTATCTTCATTAATATCCACAGAACAAATTATCCAGCTAACGTACAGATCAAAACGGAGTGTATCATATTTTGAAGTCGGGGCCAAGCTGTATCTGCCACCTTGGAACTCGCTTTGGCCAGTACCTCGACGGCCCATGCCTTTATTAAACCGAGAAACATTCAAAACAGTTACCGTGGACAATGTAGGCTCAGAGGCTCGCGACTTTTGTGGTGCGTCGCCCTGTTGGTGGGCCTTTTTCTGAAGACTGAGGATTATCCAGCCATTGAACGCACATACCTCAGTCAAATACGATTCGGACTACTCCTTGGACTTCTTTCATCTGCATTACTCCTTAACGCACGGCTTCCAGACCCGAGCGGATCTCATGAACACAAAGTACCGACTTATGCATTGCCTCTGGCGTCACTCTATTTCGCAGCTAGTCTCGTCTGTCTCGCTGCAGCTATCAAAACTATAATAGACTATGGAAAGGTTTGAAGAACGGAGCGGCGTTCGTTCAGTCTTCCAGGTATGCTACGACTTAAAAAGACATTCTTTCTGAGCTCCTCGCAGAAAACATACAATAGTCATGGCATCCATTATTCTCCTCATTATTGCTACAATAATTACACTCCTATCGAAACACTGAATACAGACTCATTTCAAACGATACTTGCCATCCTTCTTGCCCGCCTCTTTCTCCATGAACCTCTCGCGCTTACGATGCATCTTCTCAGCTTCATCCCTCAGTTTTTCGACCCGTTGCGTGTCAGGGAAATCCAGATCCCAGAAGCCTGGAGGTGTCTCGCCGGAGGGCATGATATAGCGATGGCGCGAGACTTCTTGGCGATGAGCCCTTACCCCCGAGTCTTCCGACTCGGAGCCACTATCGTCCGATTCCTCTTTGTTGCTGTGGTGCTTACAATGACGCTGTGGTGCAGCGGCGGGGTCTTGACTTGATGTCGGGCTCTTCCAGAGAGGCGCCTGCAATCGTGGTGGGAGAGGCCCGGCAGCCTTGTAAAACTAAAAAGTACCGGTGAGATAATGATAAGAATGATGGACTCTACTCACCTCTCGACATTGATCACAGTCGGTCGCTTCCATACGCTTTCTCTCTGCCTTGTTGCGCACGACTTCGTCATACGCAAAATTAACCCCGTTGTTCCGATCAGGATTGACTTCGTATCTGGTCACGCTATTCGACCGTAAATCCTTTGCTTTCTTGTCCAAGAGTTGGACTTACGCCTTTCCGTTGTTGATCGGCCTTTGATCGGTTTACCATGTTGTTTCGGTGTAATCGAGTCCCTATCAAGCGCCTCTGTATGCCGCTTCTTGCTCGAGTTGGATGACACGACTTTGGTCCCGTCCATGTATTGCTGCACCAAGGGTACGTAGCTCTTTCTGCCACTCTTTACTTGCAACGAATGGCTTTCTTCGATGGGAGCTTTTCGCTTCCCAAGAGACGAATGGCTGGGACCAGCAACAGGAGCTTCGCCAAGCGGAGTACTCGCGCTTGGATGGGGAGGAGCTGCATTCGGAACCTTGATGGGCGATTCTTCAAGCTTGATAGCCACGGGCGAGTCTGGAGAGACGTGACGAACGGGTGTCTTGATCCTCCTCGTTGGTGATTCATAACTGAAGAAAAATCAGCTCTCGTGCTTGTGAACTGACAGATCACTTACATTGTCGGTTGAGGAAGAGGAATACCTGTGAGATTAAACCTGAACGGCCGCGTTGGTGTACCCGCCGATGTCTCTTGCGTCTTGTCGGTATCGAAAATCTGAGTGGCCTCTTTCGATTGCTCGGTGGTAAAGGGAGGAGCGTCAAACCCAAACGCTTCGTATTGTGTAGCGAATTGGTGATACGTCCTTGAGAGATCTTCACAAGCCGCTTCAAGCATGTCCTTGGACGACAACACTTTCTCACCCGTCGGCGCAGCACGGGTGGTGACAATTGCATCTGTCGATAGCTTCGACGGCTCCAGTGATAGAGGGGGGTCATCGTCATGCCTCCTCGCCACAGAGTCGGTCGACTTCAAAGCGTTTCCTGGAAGAGCACCTCGGGCTTTGCTGTCTCGTAGTGAGCGATTAAAGGTACGAATAGCGTCATTGACGCTCGGAATGGAACAGAACTGTCGCCACCATTCCTTGAAACCACTCCATTCGAGGTAGGATTTGAAGAACTTCCTCTCTGCTCTTTCTTTTTGGTCGGCGAGACGGTTAAAACGACGCTGTAAACGTTCCAAGGACTCGACCACGAGCTGGGCCTTTCTTTGATCTGCGGAAGAGGTTACTTTGTATTCGGACGAATTGCGGTCCTTGAGTGTGCGGCTGTGATACGATGAGCTAAAGCTTTCAACCCTTGAATAACATACACTTCGTGGTTATTGACTGCTTCCAACTTTGTCTTTAATCCAGCGTTCTCGGCTGCCAAAGCATCCTCTCGTTCTTGTAGAGAGTCGTAACGGGTCTCTGCAGTGTCTGTTCTCTGGCCTCTGCCTCGAGGATCCTCTGTTCTTGCTCCCGAAGCTTACGGAAAACCGAGTTGAGCATACCAAGTGTTGAATGAACCGTGGTAGACAGTTTCTCCATCTTGGCATTGTTGTCAGCCTTTGTCTGCTCCAGCTCTTCAGCATCTGTCTGCCGTTTGATTGCCTCTTGCTTTAGTATGTCGTATTTACTGCGGAGCTCATTGTACGCTGTTAATTGTTCCACGAGTTGTGTTGTCAACCGCGCGTTCTGACGCGTTTATGAGAAGTGAGACGCGTCAAAAGACACTTGATTTACCTCTTTCTCAAGATCTGATCCCATATATAAGATTAGCCATCCCTTTGCGGCGAGTTTGAAGGAACCGACCGGTTGCAGCGCGGAGCCAGTCGTTCAGGGCCTCCATTCTCCTTCAATGCATCTAATGACATATTTGACGCGTCTTTTACGCGTTACAGAGAAACTGGCGGGCAGTAGCAATGCGCTTGCGATGGGTATGTCAAGATAGGGTTGGAGCCCAACCACATTGAGGGGACCGTGTTCAAGCCACTCCTTGGGTCTCCCAGATATTTCTTTAGTTTATTCAACAACATAAAGCTAGTCATCAGTGCACGAAACAGACGACAAACATGCCCGCCCATGGATTATCGCGAGTGACCGTCCCAAGCATGGATAGCTACAATGCGATCAAAGACAACTTTAGGAAAGCGGTGCTCAATGTGTTGTCAACCACGCTCCCAGGGAACAAAGACGCGGCAAAGCGGGCTTTACTCGAAAAGGAGCTCCTCAAGGTCAGCCGACGCACCGCCTGAAATGTGAAATAGTGTCTGACAATTTCAAAATCAGTGGGTAGACGACACATTTGCGCTTGCTGGGCCGAATCTGCGCGTCAATGGCGTCAACTTTGAAGAATATGTGGATCAGCCGCGTGAGTCGCCTGGAACTGTCAATTGTTTGCGCATCTCAACAGATTGAAAGGTCGCTTGCCCTTTGACGAGGCGCTGGACCGGACCGTGATTGCGTTACGGGAGCAATCGTTGGTCTCGGAGCAGACAATAGCTGAACGAAGACGGACTGTCCCCGCAAAGGTTCAAGAGCTGCTAGTGGATTTGCTCGAACGACAGCGGGCGGCGGAAAAGGCCCTTTTGTCGGAGCTCGAAGAGGTACCATCAGTGGCGGACGAGGACGAATTCTGTACGTTGTTCTCACTCCATGTTGTGGTGTTCCTAACCTCGTGTAGCCTTTGTTGCGCGAGAACCCGAGTTGCGAGAGGAGATCCTCGAGGCGCAACGAGAGGCTGAACGACTAAAAGAGGTGAGTGGTGCATCTGATACCTTTGTACATGAGCGCATGCTAATGACGGGTGTGGTTTCTAGACTATACCGCGCGAGCTTCAGCGTGCACAATGGGTTCAAGAGGTCTCCGCCGAACTTGCCGCTCAGCCAACGGCACAGAGACAACGTTGAGACGGTTCAAACTCTTGGGATTGCCTGTCAAAGGATGCCGGATGTGACGTGCCGTGGCCAAGAGCCGATACCCTGGAGCTGAATGCTCAACGCATCTCCGTCATCCAATGAGTTGCTTGTGAGTATTGCTCCAGGGTCTCCGGTGATTGTTTTGGAGTCAGTTTTCTTTAGTCTTCCCTAAGTGGCCACGGGACTGAATTGGCCTATTGTGGGCGCCCAGAGAGTGCACAAATACAGCAGGCCGAACAAAATATGAAATTAATGTTGAAATAGCGAAAAAAGGGATTCCTGCAGTTCTTGCTCTGCCTGGCAGACAATGGCGACCGGCCAGCGAGTGGTACGAGACGCCGCCTATAAATCGAATTGGTTGCCTTAGCCTTGTTCTCATTCTCTTTCCCCACCAGCCCGCCTCAATCTTGAACTCCACCATGTCCGCCGGCCTCTTAATTTCACTTCCGCTCCCCTTCAACTTGCACTTGCGCTCGTTGCCTCCACCGCTGGTTATGTAGCCTACAAGTGGTGGGACAATTACTCGCGTCTCCAGAACATTCCATACCCGTAAGTCTCCTTTGTGACATGCTCGTAGTTGCCTTCAAGATGCTTACAACTCCTCTCCGCATCCAGGACGGTGCCTCCAAAATCTGGGGTCACGAATGGCTCGAGTTTGAAGACGACTGTGGCTCCCAATGGCGTCAATGGATCACTCGTTTCGGTCCCAATTTTAAGATCAAGGGTGCTTGGGGTGTACGTTCATATTTTTTTGCGTCTAAATTTGCGCATCTGACGATATTTCGACATGATAGCATCATGACATAGTGAGTCGAGGGCGTCTCGAGGCAGTCTAGCAATAGTCTAATCATCTAAATTAGCTCTGTGTCACTGACCCAAAGGCCATTGACCGCATTCTTTGCAAGGTCCGACTTTTTTTCCCAGACTTTCGACATCGCATCTAACGGCCTTTGCAGAATGCGTACAACTACCCTCATTCAGCTGTGTTTAGACCCATTATTGAGCGCCTCACTGGACGTGGTATAGTCTGGGTCGAGGGCGAGCACGCTCACAAGCCTATGCGCGCACTCCTCGCCCCTGCATTTACGCTCGACCGCATCCGCGCAATGGGTCCCGACATGTGGCTCGCAGTCAATAATGTCGTTTCTCGTCTACAATCTCAGATCGAATCCCATGGTGGTGTCCGAGACGTCAACATGCTCGACTGGACGGCCACTTCGACTCTCGATGTAATTGGTCGTGTCGCATTTGCACACGACTTTCAACAAGGTCAAAGCCCCGAGGCTCGCTCGATTATGGAAGGCTGGCGTAAGCAAGCCAATCTCGGCATGGTCTGGGAAGGTTTTCTTGCTCTCCTCGCACTTCGGCAATTCCCTTGGATCGGCCAACTTCCTCTCCCCTCTATCAAGGCTCAGAGCAACATTAAAAACACGATCAAGCCACTCGCCAACAAGCTCATTCAGCGAGGTGTTTCGGATATCGACAATGGCCGAGATCTCCTCTCGATTCTTTGTGAGTTGTTGCAGTTTTTGTGCTTACAACCCGATTCTCATCGGTTTCTAGTGCGTGCGAACCTCGGTGAAAAGCAAGAGAAGCGCATCTCTGACGACGAACTCCTTGACCATATCGTCACCTTTGTCATCGCTGGCCATGAGACCACCTCTGTCGTCCTCAACTTTACGCTCTACATGCTCGCTCAGCACCCAGAAGTTCAACGCAAGTTGCGCGAAGAGGTCATGAGCACCGATAGGGAGTCTACTTTCGACGAGCTTTGGTCCAGCGAAAACTTCCCTTATCTCGACGCCGTCACTCGCGAAGGTTTCCGACTCTTCCCTCCCTCTGCACGCAACGAAAAGGTGGCTGAAAAGGACGATATTCTTCCGCTCGCCACGCCCATTGTCGGTACCGACGGTCGCCTTATCCACGAGATCCCGATCAAGGCCGGTCAGGTTATCCACATCCCCGTTGTAGCTGTCAACCGATTCTCTTCTGTCTGGGGTGATGGCGATAGCTTCCGTCCAGAGCGCTGGATTGAGAAGAGCGGCACTCCAGACGGAAAGTTCTTGCCTGGTGCATGGAGTGGTATGCTCACCTTCCTTGTGGGCGCTCGAAGCTGCCTCGGCTACCGACTAGGTACGTCTAATTCGCTCCAAAGGCAATTCTATTCGACTAACTTGTCTCTAGCCGTCTTTGAGATGAAGATTCTTATCATGGCCTTTATCCGCGCGTTTGAATTCGGAAGTCATTGAACCCATCGAATCGCGCGCCGGCTACAATCCAACCGCGCGTGATCAGCAGACCTGAGGATGGAGCATGCTTGCCCCTCCGTCTCCGTCCCGTCGTCGCTTAAATGGATGACAACCAACCCCCCTTGACCCTATCCTCAAATACCCTAACCACCAAGTGTGACCGTGATCCTCTCTTACGACCCCGATAACGACTCCTCCGAACCCTCTATGCCCGCTCCGCCTTTGTTCTACCTCCCAAATGTACACCACCTTTCGACTCCGCAAACCTTTTGATCACGATGACGCCGCCTCTCACTATCTTAACAACCTCTTTGTGGAGGGGTATCTTATTCGCGCAACTGTAGATAGAAAGCTCGGTTCTCAATAAATCATAGTTGGATCTCTACATGGGCGTGACGCAGTGAACACAAAGGACTCTGGGATATATGATGAAGGCGAGAGGACTCAAGAAGCTTCTCCCGCGATGCGTGGAACAAAGGCGCCAGTCTTTGGACTAAGCAGGCCCTTTGTCGCAGCAAACTCGATGGTACGTGTGTGAGCGACAGAGTGTGGGACGTAAAACTCGTCCTTGATGGGAATTTGCAAGAAATTCATCTTGGGAGTGATGACCACCATTGTGTTTGTTCGTATCTCGAGCCAGTCTGCCTTCTCAAACGTGAAAGGTTCCGAGGCGATCATGATAATGTTTTCGTTTGTCAAGTTTGACATGCGATAATGCCCTGCCTACTTCATTGCCGTTTACAGTAGCAGCATCGTTGTTGGTGCAGTGGACA